AGAATTCAGACTTAAGGCAGCCAGAGGAACCTAGTCGTGAACACTACACCGACACTCCTCGGCCAACTTTCCGTGGCCTCCAAAAACGGCAATCGCCGCATCTGGATTCGTATCCGAAGACAGGCAGACCGTGTTTGGCCACTGTCCCGCCGAGCACGCGCTACACGCCGCTCGAGTGCGCATTGTGCAACGATAGAGCTGCCGATAGTGCTCAGCACACATGCATTGGGGTTGGAGAGATTCCAAACACACCGGTGTGAGTTACATCATATCCTAATAAATACCCACATGACTTATGTTTAGATATGTCTCATGAAAAAGTGTATTAGCCATTTGTTAGTTGTGCTAAACTCGAGCTAAAGACTTCTCTTTTATGTCTTTTCCTTCAACAATAGTAACCATCATGGGTTTTCTTGTGAATGTGGCATGTTTGAACATTTTGTTTGAGAAAAACTTATTAGCCATTTGCCAGCAAAGCTGAACTTGTGCTAAAAGTTTTCTCTTTCTGCCTTAGTTTCGACAAGAATCACCACCGTGGGCTTTTATTCTTGCGAAAATGTGGCGTGATGATGTTCCAACAGCACGGTGAAGAGCTGAAGAACAAAGGGAATGACGCATACGACTGCATTTATATGCTGTGGGCAGGTAGCCCCGCCCACGTCGCCATGCGTCATTGGCCTTTCAGGCGTGAATAAAGGTGTCTTCAGCAGATGGCGCTAGAGCGCGATATCCCATAGTAATGTGTTGTACCGAGTTGACCGACTGAATGGGAACTGAACAAAACTGAACTGATTCGAACTGAACCGAACTGAACTGAACTGAACCGGACTGAACTGAACTGCGACTCTATGGTCTTCGGTGAAGCTGCTGTGACACGATCGTACTGTTAAAGCGCTGTAGAAATGAGGCTGATATAATAAGATAAAACACAGATCACAGTTAGAGGAGAAGCTCAGCAATTTAACCTTTTCTTCTCATCAATTATTCACACACACACACACACACTCACCCACTCAATCACACACACACACACACACTCGTTTGAACGCTGCAATTATTCCTTCACTTCTGAATCTGCAGGAGAAACACGAGCCGTTAATTACAGCAGAACTGGCCAATCAGAGCACAGGACCACCAGCACTACACACACACACACACACACACACAGAGACCACCAGCACTACACTAACACACACACTTGTGTTTATACACACACACACACAGATGAAAAGAGGGCAAGTGTTTCCGGCTGTTGTCTTGTGTCAGATTGCTGTCAGCACTGATGCCAGGAATAAACATTGAGAGTGTGTGTGTGTGTGTGTGTGTGTGTATGTGTGTCACTATCAGTGTGTGTGAAAGAGTGAGTGTAAGAGTGTGTGTGTGTGATTGAGTAAGTGTGTGTGTGATTAAGTGTGTGTCAGTAGTATCAGTGTGTGAAAGAGTGAGTGAGAGTGTGTTTGTGTGTGTGTGTGTGTGTGTGTGTGTGTGTCTCATCAACCTTCAGTGTGTGTGTGTGTGTGTGTGTGTGTGTGTGTGTCGTCAACCTTCAGTGTGTGTGTGTGTGTGTGTGTGTGTGTCTCTCATCAACCTTCAGTGTGTGTGTGTGTGTGTGTCTCATCAACCTTCAGTGTGATTGTGTGTGTGTGTGTGTGTGTGTGTCGTCAACCTTCAGTGTGTGTGTGTGTGTCTCGTCAACCTTCAGTGTGTGTGTGTGTCTCTTGTCAACCTTCAGTGTGATTGTCTGTGTGTGTGTGTCGTCAACCTTCAGTGTGTGTGTGTGTGTGTCTCGTCAACCTTCAGTGTGTGTGTGTGTCTCTTGTCAACCTTCAGTGTGATTGTCTGTGTGTGTGTGTCTTGTCAACCTTCAGTGTGATTGTCTGTGTGTGTGTGTCTTGTCAACCTTCAGTGTGATTGTCTGTGTGTGTGTGTGTTGTCTACTTTCAGTGTGTGTGTGTGTCCCTGTGTAAATCAGTCGATATGAATAATGGACAGTGCTCTTGTCTGATTGGGTGGGTCTCAGGGGCCGCTGTTTCCATGACGACGAGCCGCTTCATCAGCTTAAGCTAACAGCCTTAGCATGATCTTATTTGGGGGCCCAGGAGACATTAGTAAACACACACACACACACACTGCTGACATCTGACCTGTAAACACTTCCCCCAAAACACACACACACACAGTCGTCAGCTGTCGGACACAACACACTTCTGTACTGGTTATTCTGCTGGTGTTGTTTTCATTAATCAGAGTCTGAAACTGAACTAGTCTTGAAATACTAGATATCGTGATCAGGGTGGGTCGGTTTACTCATACGACAAATTGTGAAATTCCTGAAAAATGTTTTAATGAACAGTACTATGATTATTATTACTATTATTATTAGTACACTCTACAGTACAGTAATATATTTCTGTCATTGTCAAGTCCTACTCTTTTTCGACTTCCAAAGGACACAAGGACAACTCAAATTTCCGACTCAATCACTTTTATTTTTATTTTGGTTTGTCAGTTGATTGTGCTGTTCAGAAAATTAGGTTGTAAACCTTTAAAGACAGAGAACAAAAGTTACAATTTTATTCAAACATTTTAATCAAACATTAATGCATTTTAGCCTTTTAGATGGAATAAAGAAAAATGATTTCATTAATCTTCCAAATATGTTTGTAAAGTTAACATTTTACCACTTTTAACTTTACACCATCCTTTTTTATCTTATACTCTTAATTTTTTTCAAACTCAATGTAATATTATTTTAGCACAAACACAAAATAAATGAAGGAAATGCTGCAATGTGTTACTTAACATCTACACAGCAGTTAAACATAGCTCAAACATATTAAGCACAAACACCATGAAAGTAAATAAACATATTACAGACCATTGGCGTCTTTGGACTGAACCTACGAGTGAACTTGGAGCCTCTCCTCTCTGAAGTTATTTTTTTTTTCTGAGAACCTCCATGCTTTTTCAGGTGCTCCAAATCAGTGACAATTATAATCAGGTGACAAGCAGCCGGTTTGCTGCTGCTGGTGCACTCTGGGAAGTGAAGTTCTTTCTTAATCACTCCTGAGATTCAGCTCAACAGTCATAATTTCTTAAAGTTAAACTGAACTTATTTTGGCTCTGACATCATAGATGTAGACGGTCACGGTGAATTAGACACGTTTAATAAACCTGTTCGTTTCACAGTGTGTGTGAGAGAGAGCATGTGTGTGTGTGTGAGAGCGTGTGCGATAAACTATCCCTTTAATGTTAATAAAACAACAAAACACACAGAGGAAATCACTCGCTGCTCTTGCCTAATAGAAGCTTTAATAAGAATCAATGTATAATTTATACAGTCTATGTAGTGTTTTAATTTCATATTTGTTCATTTAATTACTTTCTTAAAGCTGCAGTCCGTAGCTTTTCCTCTTTGTCGCCATCTCTGTTTGAAGTCTGCAATTGCAGTCATTCGCGGAATTATTAATTTTACGTGAGTTGTACATCGGCATGAAACAGCGCGGAGGAACACAATGTTGTGAGGAGAGTGCGCGTCGCGGCTGTCGGTCACAGCGCCGGTGTGGATACTGGCATTCAGAATCACACATTATACTTTTTGGAAGTACAGGATGACCAACATAAGAATTTTCACCGGAAAATGTCATCTGAACAAGTAAGTGACATTCACTTTTGTTCAGATCAACTACGGGGAAAATGCATAGATTGCACTGCAGTAAATCGCGCTGATTAAATCTAACGATCGCTTATCATGTCGAACCGTGCAAATTATACTTTGTTCTCAAATTGTTAATGTTAACCTACAACATCAGCATTGCGTGACTACATTTAATGTGTTTTATGGTTACCTGTAGTTCAGAATTCATATTCTCCATAATAGCTAAATGAGAAAGGCACAACAAAGGAAACTCCATAACTGTGTGAATTAAGCAAACAATTGTGGTACTGTTACACGATTGAACTATTGAAATGTCTTACTTGTTCAGCTGAAAAAAGCGTCTCTTCTTCCGTTTTGAACCCCTTCAAAACACGGAGTTCACGCACCAAACGCCCTGCCTATGTTCCTTGTGTTCACATGAGACGGTTGCTGTCTTTCTCTAGCCGCTTTAAATCCGAAGTACGAAGTCTTTTGGGTTTTATAGTTGCTGAATCTCTAGTTGACACTGATTATTGTCGTTTGACCCTTTCTGGATCCGCCATAAGTTCAATTATGTAAAGTGCTGCGAGAAAAGGCATCTCTACTCTCCCCAACGTCAACATCCTCACGCGCAGTATAGCTAGCCGAAACTCCTTCTTTATGTGTACGGGTGTGACGTCATGACGCAAAGACATGCTCGAATTTCCCGCGGAAACCCACCAGTACCACTGGAAATAAAATCATTATTACAAGCTAACCGTTTTGAATCGAGCTACGGCAAGCAGATAGTTTTGAACACTGGCTGAATATGTTTTTTTTTTAAATAATTATTTTGGATTATTTTTAACTTGAAAAAAGTTACGGACAGCAGCTTTAAATGCTACTGCTAAATACATATACTTATCTGAACAAATAAAGCACTGTTTATTTATTTCATTTGTATATTAAGTTGTGTAATGTGTAATTTTAATAACAAAAAAATATCATTTTTATCTTCGCCACTTTGGCCTAAATGTGTGCCATTCTTTTTTATTTTATATTTTGTTACCTAAGGCTTTGTTTTTTTTAATAGGGACATTAGTTTGGCTGTAATGCTCAGTCACTTGCAAAATAGTAAAACCAACTTGATAAATAAGTTTTCTCCTTGCGCTTGCGCCGCCACGGTCATGGGGTCGATCCGCAGGGAAAGCAAGAACTGATGAGAATGTAAATGTGTGGCTTGAAATGCAGTGTGAGTCGCTTTGGATAAAAGCGTCTGCCGAATACATACATGTTAATCGTGATTTCCCTGGAAAAATCGAGATATGATATCTTTGCCATATCCCCTCCATCATGTGTGTGTGTGTGTGTGTGTGTGTTTCAGGAGGGCGTGTGGAGTTTGATGAAGCTCCTGCAGCATCAGGTCGGAGAGCTAAAGATGGACGCCGGCGAGACTGAAGCGTCACACACTCGACCCGGCTCAGGTACCAAACACACCACATGTTCATCATCACATGTTCATTAGGGGAGGGGAGGGGGGAGGGGGGGGGGGGGGGGGGGAGGGGGGTCTCAATCACATGACACTGTTATTACCCAGCGCTGGGAGATCCAGTGAGTAAGCGCTTGAATTCACCGCAGAATTGTTCATTTGCATTGAAGCAATAGTGAAGATTAAAAAGCATTTGGTGAACAGAAAACACATTATATTCCATCCGGAACAATTTTAACTTAAAAAGCTGCAATTACAAATTATTATTAGTGTCAACATTCTTGAAATCTAATGATCAGTGCATTTGTGAGGGCTATATACTTCATAAATATACACACCTGCTATAAACAGCGTTTCTGTGGAACGTATGATGTGCATATTTTAATAGGACAACAGATACAATAGAACAAATATTAACCAATAGAATACAGTCTGTCACACAAGTTTCATCAAATAAAGCCATCGGATGTCTTCAAGAGTCCAGGAACGTTTATTTGTGGTGCTCTTATGATGTTTCTGTGGGATTTCTGGAGCTTGACTGTGGCAGGCTGGGATGTTTGATCAGCCCACGTCTCTCGACAGACTCTTCACACACAACTAAATCATTTACACTCTAATCAATATTTCACATTCATTCGTTTATTCATTTATTCGTTAAATATCTCTAATAAGCGGGATTATGTAGAGTCGTTATGCAGGATTAAGAGAGAGCATCACTGTGTCTTGATCATCAGAGTCTGTTCTTCCGTAATAATGTCTGACTGTATATAATCTGATATACTCAGGGGTTTTCTCTGTAACGTGTGTGTGTGTGTGTGTGTGTGTGTGTGTGTCAGGCTCTGAACACACTGAGGGTCCTTGTCCTCTCGGCCCCGTCCGGCTCTCTGAGAGACACGAGTCTGTTGGTAAGTGGACCACCCAAATATACTCACACACTCGTCACACACACAAACTCACACACACACACACACACGTCTGTCTGCCAGCTCTGCACACACACACTCACACACAGACTCACACATACACACACACACTCACACACACACACACACACACACACACACACACACACACAGACTCACACATACACACAGACTCTCACACATATATACACTCACTCACTCACACATATACACACACACACTCACACACAGACTCACACACACACACAGACTCACACACACACAGACTCACACACACACAGACTCACACATACACACAGACTCACACATACACACAGACTCTCACACATATACACTCACTCACTCACACATATACACTCACTCACTCACACATATACACACACACACTCACACACAGACTCACACACACACACAGACTCACACACACACAGACTCACACACACACAGACTCACACATACACACAGACTCACACATACACACAGACTCACACATACACACAGACTCTCACACATATACACATACACATCCATCCCGCCGCGGCTGCAGCTTCAAACATATAAAATAGTATTATAAACTGAGAAGCGGGCCTGTCCCCGTTTATCCCGTCACTTCACCACGTGACAGCAGCTAGCAGGCTCCTGATTGGTTAACCCGGCGCGAATTGACACAGAAGTTCAGATTTTTCAACTCGGGCGGCAGACGCGTGAATGCACAAAAAGCACTAAATAAAATCATTCGCACGAACGAGGCGTATTCGCATCTGCCGCGCTCTACGCCTCATTCGCGCCGCAGGAATGTTTTACACGCGTAACGCGTCTTTGCAAATCACTCGCGTCAGACGCTCTGTTCGCGCGAGTCTGGTGTGAACGCTCCTATAATCAACTCTTTAAAACGTTCCAGAGTGTAATGTTCACTGTTTGTTTGTTTTGGCAGTGAAACGGTTAAAGCAGAGACTGCAGAAACACACACAGAGTCATGAGATCTTTAAGCTTCAGTGTGAACATACACCTGTGACACTGAGGAGGAGAAAGACCCGCTGTGTTAGAGCACACACACACACTTTCTCTCTCACAGACTTACTCACACAGACACACTTACATACACACACACACACACACACAGTCAACTCTCTCTCACTCTCACAGACACACACACACACACAGTCAAACACTCTCTCTCTCTCTCTCTCTCTCTCTCTCACACACACACACTCTCTCTCTCACACACACACTCTCACACAGACACACTACACTCTCTCACACACACACTCTCACACTCTCTCTAACTCTCACATAGACACACACACACTCTCACACACACACACAAACACTCTCACACAGACACACACACACACTCACACTCTCTCTCACTCTCACATAGACACACACACTCTCACACACACACACACACACACACACACACACAGACAAACACTCACACAGACACACTCACACACATAGACAAACACTCACACAGACACACTCACACACACAAACACTCTCACACAGACACACACACACACACACACACACACACACACACAAACACTCACACTCTCTCTCACTCTCACATAGACACACACACACACTCTCTCACACACACACACACACACACATAGACAAACACTCACACAGACACACTCACACACACACAGTCAAACACTCTCACACAGACACACTCACACACACACACAGACAAACACTCACACACTCTCACTCTCACACAGACACACTCACTCACACACACTCTCACACACACACTCTCACTCTCACATAGACACACACACTCTCACACACACAGACACACTCACACACATAGACAAACACTCACACAGACACACTCACACACACAAACACTCTCACACAGACACACACACACACAGACAAACACTCACACTCTCACTCTCACATAGACACACACACACATAGACAAACATAGACACACTCACACACATAGACAAACACTCACACAGACACACTCTCACACACACAGTCAAACACTCTCACACAGACACACTCACACACACACACACACAGACAAACACTCACACACTCTCACTCTCACACAGACACACTCACACACACTCACTCACACACACTCTCACACTCTCTCACTCTCACATAGACACACACACACTCTCACACACACACACACACACACACACATAGACAAACACTCACACAGACACACTCACACACATAGACAAACACTCACACAGACACACTCTCACACACACAGTCAAACACTCTCACACAGACACACTCACACACACACTCACACACACACACACACACACACACACACACACACACACACACAGACAAACACTCACACACTCTCACTCTCACACAGACACACTCACACTAACTCTCACACAGACACACTCACTCACACACACTCTCACACAGACACACTCACTCACACACACTCTCACACAGACACACTCACTCACTCTCACACAGACACACTCACTCACACACACACTCACTCACACACACTCTCACTCTCACACAGACACACTCACTCACACACACTCTCACACAGTCAAACACTCTCTCACTCTCACACAGACACACACACCCACACATAGACAAACACTCTCACACACACACACACACACTCTCACACAGACACTCTAACACACAGTCAAACATTAATATATGCAAAAGTTAATATCAGATAATTTTAGAATATACAGTTTAGGATGTACCGGATATTCTTCAGTTTTATGCAAAATACAAATTTTATACAAATAGAATATCAGATCTCTGTCATATGGCCAAAAATAAATGCAAACAAAAAAAAAGCTTTTTTGCATAGTTGTGTTTGACACATGAAAACTGTAACCATGTTACAAGCTAACACGACGTAGCCTTGCCCTCACTCGACGTGTGTCCCCACATAAGTCCTTGAGTTTGAGGGTGTTGGACCTGGAAAGTCCTTCATGTTGAAGTTGACCGCGGTGTGGGAACCCTGCTATTGTTAGCTGGGCTGTCGGTCTGTAGGTGATGTGTGTGTTTCCCTCTTTCCCAGCAGCCTCTCCTGCGCTGGAGGGCGTGAGTGAAGATGAGCCGTGGGTCTGGCCCGAGGAAGAGCCCAGCGCCGAGGACTACAGGCAGGCTCAGCGTGTGGAGACGTACATCATCGGGCTAATCCAGCGCCGCTCGCCTCATGCTAGGCCCGGCAGACCTCCGCGCACTAGCATGGGTCCCGAAGCCAGAGTGATCCGGCAGAGTAGCATTAGCCGGGCCGGGATTCGCTCCACATCTCTGGATTTTCCCAGCAGCAGCGAAGCGGAATCCCCACAGCGCGTCTACACACACACATACTCCTCCGACGAGCTGGTGAACGCGCAGTACATCCCAGCGCAGCCGTGCCGCGCTCTAGCGCACAAACCCGAGAGGAAGCCGAAGAAGTGCCGTTTCACGGAGGACAAGATGGCGGCGAAGAAGCCCGGACGAAAAACCTGCCGCGCACAATCCGAGAACAACCTTGAGCGCAAATACAACACGGCGGAGAGGAACGTCACGGCTAAAACACGCCGCGGATCCGCTCACCGGCGCTGGCGCTCCACGCTAGAACTGAGTCAGGACGAAGCCGAGCAGCCAATCAGACGCTCCCGTAAGCCTCGTGTGTACCGAGTCGAGTCCGAGTCGAGTCTGAGCGAGGCCGAGTCGCGCGGGTCCAGCTCGCGGTCCAGCGACTCTGACGGGAGCAGCGGATTGGTCTGGCCACAGCAGCTGGCTCCGCCCACTCAGCCTGGAAACAGCAGCGGATTGGTCTGGCCACAGCAGCTGGCTCCGCCCCCTCTGCTGGCCCCGCCCACTCCGCCTGGAAACGCCCTGCAGCCCAAAGCCTTCGTGAAGATCAAGGCGTCGCACGCGCTCAAGAAGAAGATCCTGAGGTTCAGAACTGGGTCCCTTAAAGTCATGACCACCGTATGAGACACACACACACACACACACACACGTTTACTTGGCTATCTAAATGGGGACTCTCCATAGACGTAATGGTTTTTATACCGTCCAAACTGTATATTCTGTCCCCTTACACTAACCCTACCCATATTTTTGTCATTTTTATTCGTTTCTTGAATCCATACATTTACTGGAGAAGCGACATGTTACAAACTTGTTCTTCAGGATAAACCCTTTGAGAAGCATCATGTCGCTTTCAAGGAGGTCCTAATACACAGAAAATAGACAAACACAAGACAAAACAATAACAACAATAATCACCTCATTCAAAACAACAAACACACCACTACGGTGCGCGATATAGCTAAAGAATTATCACGATATAATGTTTCACATCGTTCGGTACCGATAATTATTGACATTTTTTTTTACCTTTTTTTTTTTAAGACAAGTAGAAAAGTTGGAATTTAAACCACTGTTTTATTTATTTATCCACATTATTAAGGCAAACATGCCAGAGAAATTTCCTTGATTTAAAAAGTTTTCCTACATCTTGAAACTTTTAGTTTTATAAATGTTTTGGTCATCACATTAAAAATAACATTTAAATATGATAATATTTGAGTTTTGAAGTGCTGGAAAAAGACGTGTGACGTACTTGAAAGCGCTTCACTATTCAGCCGTCCATGGTTGCAGTGTTACTGCAGTAAAGCCATGGGGAGTGTTGCTGATCTGTGGACTTTAGCTAGTTCCTTCATGGCACAGTTTCTCCTGGGGTCCACGTTTGATCTGATGGAGATCTACGGTTAATAGCGGAGAAATGTGTGTAGCGCAGTTTTCGTTCCGCTTTGCCATTGATGTTGGGCGACGGTGTGGTGGCCATCTTTACCTTCGCAGTCGTCTACCGAATCACGGCGACTGGAACGCACCTTCAGTCATGATGTGGAGAGCGGTTCATGGTCGCCTAGCATCGACAGACGGCAACGGCACAGCCGCGCCTTCCACGCGCTTTCAGACGCGATATGAGAACGGCCCCTGAGATCTACAATCTTTTTTATATCGTTACCGACAATGGTGTAGCGTTGATAAATACCGATACCGTTTTAGTGCCCAGCCCTACACACCACTACTAAACCTGCCCATCACACACACACACACACACACACACACACACTAACCTGACTCCTAAACCTGCCCATCACACAAACACACACACACTCACTCATACACACACACTAACCTGACTCCTAAACCTGCCCATCACACACACACACACACACACACACACACACACACACACACACACACACACACACTAACGTGACTCCTAAACCTACCCATCACACAAACACACACACACACACACTAACCTGACTCCTAAACCTGCCCATCACACAAACACACACACACTCACTCATACACACACACTAACCTGACTCCTAAACCTGCCCATCACACACACACACACACACACACACACACTAACGTGACTCCTAAACCTACCCATCACACAAACACACACACACACACACTAACCTGACTCCTAAACCTGCCCATCACACAAACACACACACACTCACTCACACACACACACTAACCTGACTCCTAAACCTGCCCATCACACACACACACACACACACACTAAAGTGACTCCTAAACCTACCCATCACACAAACACACACACACACTAACCTGACTCCTAAACCTGCCCATCACACACACACACACTCACACTCACTCACTTTCTCTCTCTCACACACACACACTAACGTGACTCCTAAACCTACCCATCACACACAACTTTCTGCATTTTTACTTAAAAAAAAAAAGTTTAATTACTTTATTTTTACACCAGATTTACAAACGAGGACGTCCCTTAAGGAGGTTTTTAGAGATTTTTTCAGGTTTTGGTCACTTCTGGGTACACATTTGTCCCTAAAATATAGTTAAGTAGGAACACACACACACACACATATATATATACACACACACACACATATATATATATATATATATATACACACACACACGCACATATGCATACACACATATATACACTCACACATACACACACACACATACACACAGTGGATCATGAAAACATACCTCATGTCATTTGCAGCATATACACATATATACACACACACACACACACACACACTTCTTATTCCTGTTGAATATCCTGTGTGTTTTGGCCAACTCAGTGTCAGTTCCAGTGGATCATGAGAACACAGGCCGTGTCTTTCGCACCGCCGCTCTGGGATCGGGACACTCCCCGTGTGTGTGCGGAGGGTTCGAGGATGAGACTCACAGAAGCCCAGCGCAACTCGACCCGCCGTTCCACACTCAGGGCTTAAGACGCTTAAAATAAATTTCAAAAGTCTTCTACATTGACCAATACTTTAAAATAGCAGATAAAACCAGAGTAAACTCCCATCACGACGACGATGATGATGTCACACGTGTAAATGTCTGTAAATGTTCCCTGTATTTATGAATGTAACCTGTAAATAAAGACCTCTTCGTAAAGATATGCTCTCAATCTGTTACTGACGCGATAAAACGGAAGTAGCGACATCCTTTCTTACGTATTGTGACGTATTGTGAATAATAATAAATGTAGGGCGGAGCTTGGCTCTATGTAAGGTGATGTGGGCGTGGCTCTCAAGTCTATGCAAATGAGCGTGAGCTTCCAGGGGCGGAGTTTAAACCCACTACATGATTCCTGAATCCTGCGTACGTCACCAGTTATGACATTTGATTAAACATAAAAAATAAAATAAAACATGCACAGATTAAGATCTATAATATGCTTCTTTTTTTTTAAAACAGCATTTTTATTTAATGTCACTTTTAAAGAGCAAATTGTATATTGTGTAGTAACTCTTTACAGTCAGTTTATTTGGTTACACTTTATATTTAAGGTGTCATTGTTACAGTGTAATTATATTTAAGTACTGAGTAATATTAATTAACGGGATTAGGATTTGGTTGAGGGTTAGTTGCATGTAATTATGCATAATTTACTGTTATTACTACAGTAAGTACTTGTAACATTATGTAACAAGGAGACTGTAAAATAAAATGTTACCGTTTATTTAGAAAAATTATTCTTTGGCAAGTTATTGCGCGCAAATTTTTTAAGTAAATTTCACATATGGAATTAAGTAAACTCAAAAATGAACTCCAAATGTCACAAAATGGCCAGTTACTAATCAAAGCAGTGATGAAACAGTGTAAGCACAGCGAAAAGTCAACCTCATTAATTATTCAAGGCCCAGTGCATGATGGGAACACCAGTATCAGAAAAGTTGAGTAATTTTACTTAATCTTATAATGTTGATATTTTTTTTACTTTAATTTCTACACACTTGAATTGAGTACTAATATAGAATTTACTATATTAGTTTACTATAAAATAGTTATATTAGTTTACTATAGAATTTACTATATTACTATAATAATAATATATACTATAATAAATGACTATATTTTTCATTCTTGCCTGAACTAACTTTTTTCATGTAGAAATTACATTGTTTATTTCTGTAGTATTTACTTCACCACAAAATCATTTTTATCCGTGTAAAGATGAAGTAGAGACTGCCGAGTTGTGCTGATGCATGATGGGATCTCTCTGCGAGGGGAAGCTCTTGTGTGTGTGTGTGTGTGTGTGTGTGTGTGTGTGTGTTCATGTAAACACTTCATCATCTCTCGGAGACGCTCGATAACGAGCTCCAGCTGGACTTCTGCTCGCCGGTTATTAGTGGCACAGACACACAGGCCCATTCACAGACCCTGGAGGATTCTGGGAGTTTGCATAGTTTGGGTCACATGACTGTTCTCTCTCACTGATAGACTGTCTCAGAGTTATATATATAACGGTTATAGAACATAATCTGGGCGTTCTCAGATTGTTGAATGTTTTTTTAAATGTTACTCATTCCCGAACGCTCAGAGAACATTCAGAAGTAACATCCCATAATGTTTGAGGAATGTTTCCATGCTCACATAACCAAAAAGCATTCAGAAATATTGTTTTCATAACTTAATGAGTTTTTTAGTTGGGATTAGTTTTTCTTAATAGATTTTATATAAATATTTATTTTGTTCTAGTTTCATTTTAGTTCAAGTTTTAGTAGTTTTGTGTTGTTGTTTTTTTTTTTTTTTTATATACATTTACTGGAGAAACACCATGCCTGGAGATATCAAGTCTTTAAGTGTGTTTATGCTTAATTCAAAGGGAAAACAAGATGATTTTCTGACTCCACTGGCTGATATTAGTTCTTGTTTTAAACACTCACTTCATTTTGATGCATTTTTCTGAAGCCAGCACTCGATATCTCCAGTCATGTCGCTGCTTCTCCAGTAAATGTGATTTAAGAATGTTTTAGATGTTTGTGCTGGAACTCGAGACAGAAACACTGATTTTGTGATTTTTAACCAGCATAAACCAGTCAGAACCAGTGTAGAGTTGTTCAGGATCATGCCGGTGGAGAGAGAGATGAAGAGGAACGGAGAGCAGCGAGTGTGTGTGTGTGTGTGTGTGTGTGTGTGTCCATCTGGAGCTGGTTACAGAGGCACGTTCCTTCAGGGCCAAGAAGCTGGAGTATTTCCGGTGAGAGCGAGAGGAAGACGAGGGAGTTAAAGGAGAAAGAGTGTATTAACCACATCTGGACTCCATTACGGGAGACGTGATCTCACAGATGAAACACACACACACAATCCAGATCTGATGAAGGACCTGCGCCTGGACACACACACTCACACACACAGATCTGCAGCTCTGTGTTATTTCTGCTCACGGCGCTGATGAGATTCTCCAGACCTCCAAAAGAACAGCCTCCGCCTGATAGGGTACACACACACACACACACACACACACACTCGCTCTCACTCACACACACACACACACACACACTCCAGATCTAATGAAGGACCTGTGCCTGGACACACACACACTTACTCTTACTCACATACACACTTACTCACACACACATACTCACACACACACACACACACTCCAGATCTAATGAAGGACCTGCGCCTGGACACACACACACTTACTCTTACTCACACACACTTACTCACACACACTTACTCACACACACTTACTTACACACACATACTCACACACATACTAACTCACACATACTCACTCACACACACACACACACACACACACTCCAGATCTAATGAAGGACCTGCGCCTGGACACACACACACACACTTACTCTTACAAACACACACATACTCTTACACACACACACACACACACTCCAGATCTAATGAAGGACCTGCGCCTGGACACACACACACTTACTCTTACAAACACACACATACTCTTACACACACACACACACACACACACTCCAGATCTAATGAAGGACCTGCGCCTGGACACACACACACACACACACTCACTCACTCACACACACACACATACTCTTACACACACACACACACTCCAGATCTAATGAAGGACCTGCGCCTGGACACACACACACTCACTCACACACACATACTCTTACACACTCACTCTCTCACACACACACACTTACAAACACACACATACTCTTACACACACACACACACACACACACACACACACACACACACTCCAGATCTAATGAAGGACCTGCGCCTGGACACACTCACTCACACACACACACACACACTTACTCTTACACTCACACACACACACACATACTCACTCACACACATACTCACTCACACACACACACACACACTCCAGATCTAATGAAGGCCCTGCGCCTGGACACACACACACTCACTCACACACACATACTCTTACACACATACTCTTACACACATACTCACTCACACACACTTACTCTAACACATACTCAGACACACACACACACACTCACTCACACACACACATACTCTTACACACATACTCACACACACTTACTCTTAGACACACACATACTCACTCACTCACACACACACACACACACTGCTCCTGGTCGAGTTAGACGGGCACATACCACAGTCTGGGATCTTGGCCAGAGAACGAGAGGATCACATGCTTCCACTCTTGCTGTTAGTGTGTGTCCTGAGCTCTGTGTGTGTGTTCCCAGATAACACAAACATGATTCAGGAATGTTTTGCTAGCATTTCCATTCAGTTATGAAAACATTACTTTCTCTGAACGTTCAAAATGTCAAATTTTTTAAAGGTTTTAACTTTTTTGTTTTTCTTGTTTATGTGAAATCTAAGGGAACATTTCATTCTAAATTAACTGGTTTCATTCAAGTCAAAAATATTATTTAATATCGCTGAATTGACCTAAATACGTTAAACCAAAACAAAAAAAACAGGTAGAAATAGCTCTAATAATTGGTGACAGTCACTCACTCTTAAACCCCGCCCTCTCTGTGGAAAGGGGAGGGGCCTGTCAATGATTGACAGTTTGACTACAAATACATTTTCTTCCACAAGCTAACAGAGCTAACTTTTTAAAAACACTGAATTATTCCTCTCTGATGAATAATTAAATCACTTAAATATACAAAATCCAGCTTTTAATGTTGTTTATGTGTCTATGTGGTGTTATTAACATGCTTTAAGACAAACCATGTGTAAGTTCATAAGTCGACAGCATTGCTGAGTATTTCCTCCTTAAAACTGCAGTGAACCAAAGACAGTCTCAAAAACAGGTTTGAAATCGCTGGTGTTTATGATGTCACAAACTACCTTGTAACCAATCAGATCAACGTGTGATCGTCAACCAGTGGATCTCTGAGCTGAGCGAGTGAGTGGAGGCGGGGCTCATCTGCATATTCATAGAACCGCCCATAGCCTACTAAATGAGGCGAGGGTGTCGAGTTACATTCAAGATATTTTGTTCAAGGAAAAAATGCCTAAATGCGTCATTTTGGTGATCAAAGATGCGTTTTAAGGGATAAAATCATTGGGGGACTTTAAATAGTATACAGCTGAAACTCGAACAATGAGAGTATCATGCAAAAGTTCATTTATTTCAGTAATTCAACTTAAAAGGTGAAACTAATATATTATATAGACTCATTATCAAGCCTTTATTTGTTATAATTGTGATGATTATTTTTTACAGATATGAAAACCTTTTCACAATATTCTAATTTTGAATTTGGGGTTTTCATAAGCTGTAATCCATAATCATCAAAATTATAACAAATAAAGGCTTGATAATGAGTCTATATAATATATTAGTTTCACCTTTTAAGTTGAATTACTGAAATAAATGAACTTTTGCACCATATTCTAATTGTTCGAGTTTCACCTGTATAATGATGTTTCTAAACAAGATCATTGTTCCCATGCAGAGATTTCTCGACTTTCATCAGCCATGTTGAATTTATGTAGTCATAAATTATAATATGAATATAAAAAACGTAATGGAGGAGAATGGGATTCTGGGTGGATGTGAATGGTTAATGGTGGAGCTCTGGAGTCGAGCCGTGGACACAGGTCTGGGGTCAGACATGTTTAGTCTACATCTGCTGATCTCCGTCCGGCACTGTGTGTGTGTGTGTGTGTGTGTGTGTTTATCCGACGCGTTTCAGAATGGTTCGGTTATTATTGTGCATGCTTGGCTTCTCACAGTAAACACAATCTACCATCTGATCTCAGATCAGGCTCTTGTTTAACATGTAGATGAGGAAGATTCGTGCTGTCTTGTGTTGTACTGCCCCCTTGTGCTCATGTGAGGAACACACACACACACACACACACTGCATTACAAGCTCATGTTCTATCGTTTATTATGTCCAGAAACAGTCACACAAATCCAGTGTCAGACATTATAAGTGGTTTTATTGAGCGCAATCGTGCAGGGAAGACGTCATACTGAACGTGCTGTGTGAGACGAGAAACACAAACTCTGGAGGAATGCTGAACTCAGACCTGTGGCTTAAATATCAAGGGGACTGTGATTCTATTATAAACTTTATTCAATCGAACACACACACTGCAAAAAATGCCCTTCCTCAGTATTTCTGTCTTGTTTTCCAGTACTAATATCTAAACATTCTTTTGTTTTCCAATTAAATTAGTTTTATAATTTTAATATTTTGTATTTTTAGTGGATTTTATGGTACTAAATTATACTTATGCAGTATTTATAATCCATTTATTCACATTTTGAGCATAGAGGTGAAAATGAAGTTTCCATCTTAAACTGTGGTAAATATCGAGTGGAAAAAGTTTAAAAAGTGAAATTAAAAAAATTCTTGAGGTTCAGGTTTATTATTATAAAAACGCATAAAAATACTATTTAATTTTAATTTTTTATGAAATACATATTTTCCAAAACATGTTTTACTCTGAAACTGTGAGAAAAACAAATCCTTTAATCTAAACGGGTTATGCTCCAATTTTGAGGTTGATATCTGAATAAATGATCTTTCATACTTAATTTAAAGAGAAAACAAGTTTATTTTTCTGACCCTATACTCGCAGATATTTGCTTTTAAATGTTTGTTTTAAGCACAAACTCACTTCATTTTGATGCATTTTTCATAAACAAGACTTAATATCTTCAGTCATTTTCCTCCTTCTCCAGTAAATGTGTCTTGATTTAAGAATCTTTAAATATTTGTGCTGGAAAACAAGACAGAAATAACATATTTTTGCAGTTTAAACACTTTGATATCGTATTGATCATACTTTGATTTCCCGGTTATCAGAATGTGCGGAAGTGTTTTCAGTCGATAGATGTGTGCGAGTCCACCAGAGAAATATATATTTACATTCATGCATTTAGCAGATGCTTGAATCCAAAGTAGTTTACATTGCATTGAAAGAATACAGCACATCTCCCTGGGAATCGAACCCATGACCTTGGCGTTGCATTGAAGAAAATTTTTTAATTTAGCATTTTTCTTGTTTTATATCTTACAATTGCAGTAAAATATTGAGCTAAAACATTCATCCAAAGAACATCTAGAGCTTCAGTCTGGCTTACAAAGAGTCACGTGATCAACGACACTTAGAAATTAGTCACATAGAAATAGAGCACAATCTGTTCGTTTTATATTTTTCTAAATACTAAAACTTTTCATTTAGGCCTATAACTAGGTTTAAATCCCATATTTGTCAGTTGTGACAGTGTCAATATCGCGCCGATGTTTCTCTGATGCGGTCCGCCTCTCAGCCGGGGAAACAGGGCGGAGCCACGCGTGATGATGTCGGCGAGGGGGGCGGAGTCAGTCTGCTGTAGTCGATCTGGATGCTGGGTATGGATGAGCGTTTAAGGCGAGGAGGAACTCTGGGACAGACAAAGAAGAAGTGGTCTCATTTCTTCACATGCTAGTAAAGCTTCATGTGAAGACAGTTAAAGTGATCGAGCCGGTGTTTAAAGGATCCGGTGTAACGCCGGTACTGACCCGTCCTCATGGACCTGAGGCTGAGCGCTGCCGGCGGGGTCACGGGGCTCACAGGGGTCACGGGGGTCATGGAAAGGGTCGTCCTCCTCACGGCTGGTGTGTTCCCCGCTCTCCTCCGACGGCTCCACCATGATGGACGGCAGTCGCTCCTTCAGGCTCTTCGTCTCCGACGCCTCGGGGAATATCTGCCGTGTCACAGGTCATGCGGTGTTCAATGAGCCGTCTGAGAACTAAAGGGTCTGGGGGACGCTTAAAGATCAAAGTGCACGACAAATAAAGTCTCCTAAACTGTTGCCTTTGTCGCCATTGGCTTTTGGGTTGGTTAGTTGTAGTACATTTAATTTAATTTAATATTCAGCAATATTATTGATCTCCTGCATTGACTCCTCCTTCGCCGATGTCTCCGTCAGCTCGGATTACAGCTGCCGTTTCTCCAGGAGGCGTACGCCATAAACACGCTTCCTAAGTTACTCCTGCTTTTAAGAGGCGGAGAATTTTTCCTGTACATAACGCGGAATACATAATTAGGCGCAGTTTACGCTTCCCCTCCCTTCTCTCTATGGGACACTCCCTCTCCCCTTGACCATCCCATGAATGCATGACACGGAAAGCGCATTTTGCCATTTTCAGTTCCCGCGAGGCTGTGTTTGCTTTCCTCTCGGTGCGTCGCGTTCGTACACACCTCGCCATGGGTTTATACGCACTTTGCGAAACAAATACGCCTGAAGTGGCGCAAAAGCGTTAGTACATCTGGCACTCTGTGTTGTATAGTGCTGTATAAATAAAGGTGACTTGACTAAAAGAAAGATGCGATTCTGAACAGCTGAAATGTTGTCAGTAATAAAGGAAGAGCTTGGTTTCTGACATTACGGTGTTTTTGAGCTTGGATGAATGTGAACCTGTTGTAGGAGACTCTGAAATAAGATTAAGCCCCGACACAGCGGGATGAATATCGGCGCGCGTAATCCGTCCCGGTGTGTACGGGGCTTAATCTTATTTCAGAGTCTCCTACAACAGGTTCCCGTTTTTCAACGCGTTTTTTGTGTTCACACCCAAGCGATTTTCGCTGACGATGAGCCGAGTGAACATGCAGATTCATTCCCTGACATTAGATGGCGCTTAATGTAAAACAGAAATAGTCCTATGTTGTAGTCGCTGTCGCGCTTGTCATATAGTTCTTTATGTTCCGACACCAACGAGACCAGCAGCTCTACATTCATCTGGCCTTGCATCTTCCTCATCTTATTTCTTCCCGGCAGCGATATTTTTTTTCACAGGATGGTAGGGGAAGACTCATGAATATTCATTAGGGAACTCATCCCTGATTGGTCTTAACCCCAGTGACTGGTAGGTTTAGGGGCGGGGTTAGGGGGTAGGTCATCAGACCAATCAGGGATGAGTTCCCTAATGAATATTCATGAGTCTTCCCCTACCATCCTGTGAAAAAAAATATCGCTTCCCGGCAGTGTAGACGCTACTTGGCGTATATCTTCTTCGCCGTTACGTATGTGTGCTCGGCAAGACCGTTTTGTGTGTGAGCGCCCCCAAGTTGTGTTTTACTGTAACTTCAGAAGCTCCAGACACGTGAGCAAAAGCGCCAATCTCATTGGTCGGATAACGAACCCGAGGCGGTTTTTTTTAAAATGACGCTTTTACGTGTGGTGTTTTTCGTGTCGGTGTGCACACTCACATTGGCGCCCTTTGTTTAGTCACGAAGCGTTAAACGTCGGCGAATATCGCGCGCAAATTCGTCCTGGTGTGAACAGGCCTTTAGGATATAGTGCATAATAGCGGCACTTTTAAATGCTTTATAAGCTTTTCTGAGTGGATCACTCTTTTTGTAGGCCTAGATATGCAATCTGAACAAACAAACAAAGAACTGGAATAAATATCTAAATGTATATTCTTGCAGAGATGATGCACAGCATCTACTGGCTATTATTGTTAAAATGATTTTGACCAGACAGGTTATTTATCTTTTTTCACAAAATTACAGCAATCTGCCCCAAATACGTGATGAATAATTCCTTTCTGTTTCAACTCATAGAAGTGTAGATACTGTAGTTAAGGTCCACAAGTTTGCATATTTGCTTATATGATGGTGAGATATTGACATGCAAATAAAATCTACATGACATAACAATGTTGGTTATACTATATTTTAAGGTTTCATTGTTACGGTGTATATATTTTAGTTCGGAGTAATATTAAGTAACTACATGTAGGATTAGGGTTTGGTTGAGGGTTAGTTGCGTATGTATAATTTACTGTTATTACTACAGTAAGTACATGTAACATATGTAACAAGGAGACTGTAAAATAAAGTGTTACCAAAATGTATTGTTGATATTTCAGGGAAATTAGTGTTATACAATTTCTTTCTTTAAAAAAAAAAAATTTAGATGCGTTTGATGCTTAGCATTTCAAGCAGTAGTTTATCATAAACCTACAACAAACATGAATTCAGTGACACACAAACTGAGACAAATGATTGGTCTAATATGAGATGTGATTGTGATGTTATTCTCTAATATGAGATGTGTGTGTGAGTACCTGATATGACGTGTGTTCTCTCCTCTGCAGCTGAAGCTGCTCCATGCTGGAGTCCTGTGGACCTGTGGACATCACACACAGAGAGAGAGAGAGAGAGAGAGAGAGAGAGAGAGAGAGAGAGAGAGAGAGAGAGAGAGAGAGAGAGAGAGAGAGAGAGAGAGTGTGTGTGTGTGTGTGTTTGCAGTCTCCGCTTTAATCCCGGTAAGATCCTAATGAGGGAACAGGGGGCTGTTCCATAAATGAAGCTTAGAAAAGCGGGGATTAAACTCCAAAACCGGACTTGAATGAGCCTAACAAATAAGTTGGGGCTAAAGTGGTTCCATAAAAGGTAATTGAAGTTCACGCAATCTCACTAATTTGATCCAGGTTTATCTAGTCTAGATAATTGCGTGTGCACGCGTTTCTGAAGCAGCCCTAGAGGTCGATCGTGGATCAAATCGATCCACCATCATACAGCGTATATTTTGTGCTGTTTTATGCGTTTGTGCAGGGCCGGATTAACCATTAGGGCAACTGGTCACTTGCCCAGGGGCACATGACATCTAGGGGCCCTGCGCACCGTCAAATATTATGTTAGATCACGTTATAAACGCAGTCCTCACTTTCCTAATTATATGCATATTTTTGCAACCCATTCGATCAAAATATAATGTTAAATCGCGTCAAAAACAGCGTCTGTATTCCTGCGCAGTGAGCGAGAGCGAGCTATCATGTCGACTCGCGTCGCGTGACTTGACGCTCTGAAATTTGAAGTGATGGAGAAGCAGTTGCCTACGGTTGCCTAACATAAAGGTCTCGACTGTTTAGCGTTATATTTTGCCAACGAAGTCAAATTGAAACTGTGATATTGCTTCGTGCCGTTATAAAACAGCAAAAGACTTTAAGTAGCCTAGGCATTCTGTTTGTGCTGCGTGATTTAAAGAGAAGTGCGCACTTTGCTCACGCGATCAGCATGGTGATCTGGTGTTTTCTCCAAAATGAAAGCTCAAGGGTTTATTTCTGGCAATTAAAGAAATTAGGACAAAAGTATTGTACTTTTCCTATACTGTGTAATGTAATGCAAAATACTTTTAGGCTACATTTAGGAGGTATATGATTTTACGTCATAGGAATAATTATATAAATCATTATTATAATAATTGTTTGGCATCCTAAAACACCAGTGATAATGTAATGCAGACTGAGACTCTATATCATAACTAAAAAGATGTTTGAGCCCTCTTTAATGTCCAGGTAAGTCAATGCTTTTTCTTTGTTCAATGTGCACAGTTCATGGGTTAAAGCCGGTTGAAGCTCTTAATTGTGAGCTCTCAAAGTGCACCAGATTGATGCATTTAACCTTAAAATGTACAAAATTTTCTTGCGGGGGAGCATGCCCCCGAACCCCCCTAGAGGGATAGAGTTCCACCCAACATAGTTTTATAAAATCCTATGGGAAACACAGATCATTTATGAAGTAATATGTACAAAAAAGTTCCTTTTAAGTCAGTAATACAGTTAATGCCAAATTAAAATGTCCTTGGACAAACTACATTTGGCCTGCCTAAGGGGGGGCCTACAAGACATTGTGCCCAGGGCCCTCTGAATTCTTAATCCGGCCCTGCGTTTGTGACATGTTTTTTTCCCCCTCAGTGCAAAAATTACATTTTACAGTTATATTCTCCATCTGTAAATGTTAGAAAGTCGTGCAAATGTATCCATTTTGCTGCTAATCTTTATGAACGAGCGCTGCTGCGCGCATGCGCGCCAAATAGGAGCGCAATAATTCTGACTAAAATATACATTTTGCTTGGAAAATTAATATGCGATATTTTATAACACTAGAAATATCTTCTAATTATAATAATTTCTCTTTAGGATGTTGGATAAGTTGCAGTGAACTTCTAGCTCATTACACTCATATATTTTATACTTCTAATAAAAAAAAGAAATTGAACAGAAGTAGCCTAATTCAGGGAAGATTTTTTTAAAGAAACTAAATATATAAAGATACAAATATAGTTTTGGGTATAGGACCTATGCTACTTTATAAAGATGATATATACTTATTTAGAATGCTGAGAATTACAGCTTTTAATGCAATAATTTTTTTTGAGAAAGCAAGAATCCCCAGCTTTAAATGAGTGGTTAGATTTAGTTTCTAAAGTACATTATGGAGAGGATAACATTAAATTAAGAACACATTTTGAAAAGATATGTGCAACTCTAAAATCAAAGAATATTCCATAAAATAAAGGAATATATATTGGCCTACATTAACTACATTTTTATGTAACCTTCCCTTTTATTTCTTATTTTATTTATTTACTTATTTAATATTGAATATTTGATATTTAAATAATATTACTTGAATAACTATTAGGAATTATGTGTCATTCATTATAATAGTTTGATATATGTGAATGTTAAATTTTTATTAATATTTATTTATTGTTTTATTTATATGTATGTGTTGGTATTATCACAAAAGAAAAAAAAGTAGAAGGAAAAATAAGGAATATTTATTGGGGGAAAATATGATGTCTTTAAAGGAACTGTCCATTTGTATAATTGTGTTAAATGTGTTTGAATTGAAAGACATAAAAAAAGTACATAATATATATATATATAAGAGACAGTGTAGAGAAAGAATTCTCTGATAACCGAGGCATTCCTTAATTAAAATGTCTTTATTACAAAAATGAGATGTCCTAAACGGACAACTTTAAAACGCCTTATATATGTGTCTATATTGTCTATATTGTAGCCTTATTTAAGTTGATTTTCTGTATACTGTGTATTTATAAAGTCCAATAATGGTATTAGAGACTGTCAGTGGTAATATCATTGTGTTCTTGTCGGTCAGTGTTGAGGATCTGTGTAACAACTGAGGCTTAGCCTGACAGTTAGCCTGCCCTGGACCAGGCTAGTTTCCCAGCATAAGTTGCCAGGGTAACTGCGTTTGAACTTTTTTAAGTTTGATTTATGAAACCGAATCTACCAAAAATAAGCTTGACTAACCGAAATAAGCCTGGCTTATACTCTAATCTTGGTTTATGGAACAGCCCCCAGGTGTCATGCGTCACTCACTGAATGACACTGCAGGACAGAAAGCGTGTGTGTGTGTGTTTCACCTCTGAATTCAGATCGAGTCGCTCAGATTTCCACAGCGTTTGTTCAGCGTTCAGTAAACGGTGTCTGCCTCTCACCTGTGTGTGTGTGTGTGTGTGTGTTCTGTCCCTCTGATGAGCCTCTCACCTGTGTGTGTGTGTGTGTGTGTGTGTGTGTGTGTGTGTGTGTTCTGTCCCTCTGAGCCTCTCACCTGTGTGTGTGCGTGTGTGTGTGTGTGTGTGTGTGTGTGTTCTGTCCCTCTGATGAGCATTAGCAGGTCGAGAGCAGGATTAGCGGCTCTGGAGATTAAAGGTTCATGTCACACACACTTCCCGCACAGGGCTCGACACGCTGAACACTCGCTCACACACAAACACACACACACACACATACACTTCCCGCACAGGGCTCGACACGCTGAACACTCGCTCACACACACACACTTCCCAGGGCTCGACACGCTGAACACTCACACACACACACACACACACACACACACACACACACACACACACACACACACACACACACACACACACACACACACACACACACACACACACACACACACACACACACACACACACACACACACACACACACACACACACACACAACTGGGGGCTGTTCCATAAATGAAGCTTAGAAAAGCGGGGATTAAACTCCAAAACCGGACTTGAATGAGCCTAACAAATAAGTTGGGGCTAAAGTGGTTCCATAAAAGGTAATTGAAGTTCACGCAATCTCACTAATTTGATCCAGGTTTATCTAGTCTAGATAATTGCGTGTGCACGCGTTTCTGAAGCAGCCATAGAGGTCGATCGTGGATCAAATCGATCCACCATCAATCAGCGTATATTTTGTGCTGTTTTATGCGTTTGTGACATGTTTTTTTTCCCCCTTCAGTGCAAAAATTACATTTTACAGTTATATTCTCCATCTGTAAATGTTAGAAAGTCGTGCAAATGTATCCATTTTGCTGCTAATCTTCATATTGAACGAGCGCTGCTGCGCGCATGCGCGCCAAATAGGAGCGCAATAATTCTGACTAAAATATACATTTTGCTTGGAAAATTAATATGAGATATTTTCTAACACTAGAAATATCTTCTAATTATAATAATTTCTCTTTAGGATGTTGGATAAGTTGCAGTGAACTTCTAGCTCATTACACTCATATATTTTATAGCCTACTTCTAATAAAAAAAAGAAATTGAACAGAAGTAGCCTAATTCAGGGAAGATTTTTTTTAAGAAACTAAATATATAAAGATACAAAATATAGTTTTGGGTATAGGACCTATGCTACTTTATAAAGATGAAATATACTTATTTAGAATGCTGAGAATTACAGCTTTTAATACAATCATTTTTTTGAGAAAGCAAGAATCCCCAGCTTTAAATGAGTGGTTAGATTTAGTTTCTAAAGTACATTATGGAGAGGATAACATTAAATTAAGAACAAATGTATACATTTTGAAAAGATATGTGCAACTCTAAAATCAAAGAATATTCCATAAAATAAAGGAATATATATTGGCCTACATTAACTATACATTTTTATGTAACCTTCCCTTTTATTTCTAGTTATTTGTTATTTTATTTATTTACTTATTTAATATTGAATATTTGATATTTAAATAATATTACTTGAATAACTATTAGGAATTATGTGTCATTCATTATAAGAGTTTGATATATGTGAATGTTATATTTTATTAATATTTATTTATTGTTTTATTTATATGTATGTGTTGGTATTATCACAAAAGAAAAAAAAAAGTAGAAGGAAAAATAAGGAATATTTATTGGGGGAAAATATGATGTCTTTAAAGGAACTGTCCATTTGTATAATTGTGTTAAATGTGTTTGAATTGAAAGACATAATAAAGTACATAAAAAATATATATATATATATATATATATATATATATATATATATATATAAGAGACAGTGTAGAGAAAGAATTCTCTGATAACCGAGGCATTCCTTAATTAAAATGTCTTTATTACAAAAATGAGATGTCCTAAACGGACAACTTTAAAACGCCTTATATATGTGTCTATATTGTAGCCTTATTTAAGTTGATTTTCTGTATACTGTGTATTTATAAAGTCCAATAATGGTATTAGAGACTGTCAGTGGTAATATCATTGTGTTCTTGTCGGTCAGTGTTGAGGATCTGTGTAACAACTGAGGCTTAGCCTGACAGTTAGCCTGCCCTGGACCAGGCTAGTTTCCCAGCATAAGTTGCCAGGGTAACTGAGTTTGAACTATTTTAAGTTTGATTTATGAAACCGAATCTACCAAAAATAAGCCTGACTAACCGAAATAAGCCTGGCTTATACTCTAATCTTGGTTTATGGAACAGCCCCCTGCTCATCTATTTTTATTATGTAAAAGTTTAGCCTCCTCTCCATCCACGTCACATGTTGCTGGTTGTGTGTGTGACTGAAGTGTGTGTGTGTGTGTGGTTGTGTAACACACCACTAGAGGGAGACACATAATCGTACAGGCTGGTTTGCGGATTCTAAACACACTGAACTCAAATACAGAAATGATCCCAGACCCGATTCCCTCACGAGCAGTGTTAGTGTTCTGTACTGACAGACTAGTGCAAAAACCCCTTTACTTTATAGATGTTTCACATTATGTAAATTTAGCATGTAAAAGGTGTCACACATTGGATGTCATCGGATGCCCACTTCCCACAAGTGTATGATTCTTTAGGGAAAATGTCTGTGCGTTTGTTAAACACTTTTATCTCGCGATTTAAATAGTTTAATGAAGCTTCTGCCAATTTTTAAATGATAAACACATTTTCAGCTGATTCACTCTGGGCGTGGCTTGTGTGATCTGCGTTTAGTGGGCGTGGCTTGTATTATCTGCGTGGAGGGGCGTGGCTTGTGTGATCTGCGTGGAGTGGGCGTGGCTTATATGATTTCGTGAGTGGTCGTGGCTTGTGTGATCTGCGTTTAGTGGGCGTGGTTTGTATTATCTGCGTGGAGTGGGCGTGGCTTGTGTGATCTGGTGGAGTGGGCGTGGCTTCTGTGTCTTGTCAGGTTAGCTTGAGGTGGATCAGGGAATCTGGAGGAACATGATCCTGAGTGAGTTTTATTCACTGCTGTTCACCGCAAACTCTTAACAGACTGCAATTCCATTCAGCTGGTGGATTGAAAAGAAGTTAATATGCATTCTATAAATCTAAACAATTAGATTAAGATATATATACTGAACACTACAGTTCAAAACTACAGAACTACAGTATGACTTAAATTAAATTATTACTTTTATTCAGCAAGGATACATTAAATTGATCAAAATTGACAGTAAAGACATTTATAATGTTACAAAAGATTCTGAAATGAATGTAAATATAATAATTTATAATTATTATTTATGTATCATTTGAACTGTAAAGTTGTTTTAGTCGCTGTTTTCTCAGTTACTTTATGGTTGTGTTGTGATCATAGATTTGCTCTGCCTCACTCATATGGTGTTAGTTTCATGTGTTTAGTTTGATTGTAAAGACTCCTGTCCTCATGTGTGTGTTCACTGCTCCGTCTTCTGGAGGATCTGCTGCTGTTTCCAGACATTACAGCCATTCCCACACGCTTTTATCAGCCTTTGAGCTCAAATATAGTTCGTTAATATTTCAATCATTTGACAACACTGTCATACTGTATGTTCATGCTTCTCTGGTGTCAGTCACGTGGAATATTTCATTCAAAAGAGAGAATTCTCTTCTTTACCTTCATGGATAAATACAGATATTATTAAGTGATGTTTTTTGGGAAAATGTTTTTTATTTAATGTTAAAAATGTGTTCTCATTTGTTTTCGGTGACAATTTTTCAAACTTTGAGGTCATTAAAACGGCCTTGAAAGTGACTCTAACTGGCCGTTATATAGTTGCTCTTGTTGTGCATAGACTGTATTTTGGCAGCACAGCAGTGAAGTGTGTGTGTTACCGCTGTGAAGTGTGTGTGTTACCACATTCATGACTTTATTCTCCTCTGAAAGGGTGTAAAAGAATCAAGTTTATTGAAGACAAGAGACGACATGCAGCAGATCTCACAGCTCGTGTTGTGTTCAGAAGGCAGTGGAATAGTACGCATTATGCAACACAAACATAAGTATGTTACATTGTTGTCATCTATGCTGCATGTTTCATTCCTCGAGTGCTAAAATATAGGGATGCACGATATATCGGTATCGGCTGATATATGTTCATTTTTAATGTTAGCATTATTGGCTCGATAGGAAAATGTGTCCGATATATTAAAGCCGATAAATAATGTATTATTTCCTTCAGCTGAGACTCTTCAGACGCGCACTGTTCAACATGATGATTATGAATTGCTTGAAATATGATTGGAATCACTTAAAAAAAGCAAAATGCAGTTCAGTGCAACATGTGCAGCGCAAGCCTGTCATATCGGCTACATAACATTATATTGAGAACATCATAATTGTGTGTTTGGGACGTGGCTTTTGTTTTTGTAATCAGGCTCTCAAAATTATAAAAATTTGGATTTAGATTTATCAGCCAATATATCGGTTATCGGCTTTCAAATACAAAGAATGATCAGTTATCTGCTTTCAAATATAAATAATTATCGGTTATTAACTTTCAAATACAAAGAATTATCGGTTATCGGCTTTCAAATGTAAAGAATTATCGGTTATCGGCTTTCAAATGTAAAGAATTATCAGTTATCGGCTTTCAAATGTAAAGAATTATCGGTTATCGGCTTTCAAATATAAATTATCGGTTATCGGCTTTCAAATATAAAGAATTATCGGTTATCTGCTTTCAAATATAAAGAATTATCGGTTATCGGCTTTCAAATGTAAAGAATTATCGGTTATCGGCTTTCAAATATAAATTATCGGTTATCGGCTTTCAAATATAAAGAATTATCGGTTATCTGCTTTCAAATATAAAGAATTATCGCTTATCGGCTTTCAAATATAAAGAATTATCGGTTATCGGCTTTCAAATATAAAGAATTATCGGTTATTGGCTTTCAAATATAAAGAATTATCGGTTATCAACTTTCAAATACAAAGAATTATCGGTTATTGGCTTTCAAATACAAAGAATTATCGGTTATCGGCTTTCAAATATAAAGAATTATCGGTTATCGGCTTTCAAATATAAAGAATTATCGGTTATCGGCTTTTAAATACAAAGACTTATCGGTTATCGGCTTTCAAATATAAAGAATTATCAGTGCATCCCGACTAAAATAAATAAGAAAATATTGCGTGTCATACCCAGCTCACAAAAATATGTTCTAAGAACCCATTCAATTATGAAAACGTTATTTCAAAATGTTCAAACATCATGGGAATGTTACTTTTGAATGTTCTTCTGAAACAAGTAGTGACATTTAAAAAATGTCAAAACTGAACGTTTCAGGAAAAAACCCTCCTTGAGCGATGTTTTGTGTGAGAACATTATCAAAGAGCAGATAACGTTGAGCGAACGTTCTATTGACGTTACTGTAGAACGTTTGTGGGTCCCTTTGAGAGTCTGCTTGAGTGTTTGAGGCTGGAGCTGTTCACATGTAGAGGCCGGCGGAGGGATACAGCACGAAGGGCCCGATGCCGTGGTTCGGCGGGTTCTCCAGCAGGTGTTTGCGGTAGTACCGCCGCAGGGCCGGGCTGCTCGGGTGCTGCTGTCTCACGTGGAGGAAGTATTCGTCGGGTCGGCTCGAGGTGAAGCCGCAGTCCTCGCACACGAAGATCTTGGAGCGCCGCTGCCGGTACGCGTACTGTTGCCGCACGCCGTGGATCTTCCTCAGGTGAGACTCCAGAGAGCAGCGCTGAGTGAAGGCCTTCTCACACAGATCACACCTGTACGGGCGGATACCTGCACACACACACACACTCAGAACTCAGAACACACACCGTCTCCGATACGACACTGCGCTCGGTGAGATTAAGCCTATATAATCAGCAAGGATGCATAAAATTGATCATTTATAAAGATTATATCCTCAAAGAATCATTAAATTAATCAAAAGTGACAGTAAAGGCATTCATAATGTTACAAAAGATTCTATTTCAAATAAATGCTGTTTTTGTGTTTTCTATTCAACAAAGAATCATGAAAAATAAAATGCATCACAGTTTTTCAACATTGATAATAATCATAAATGTTTCTTGATCATCAAATCATCATATTAGAGTGATTTCTGGAGGATCATGTGACACTGAAGACTGGAGTAATGATGCTGAAAATACAGCTTTGATCACAGGAATAAATTACACTTTTTTGCAGCTCATTTGCATTTAAAGGGACAGACACAAAACGGTGCGTTTTGCTCACCCTCAAAAAGTGACAATTTTAACATGATATATAACAATATCTGTGGGGTATTTTGAGGTAAAACTTCACACACACACTCAGACTTATTTTACATCTTGTGAAAAGGGCATTATAGGACCCCTTTAAATGCTGTGGTGTTCTCACCGGTGTGTGTGCGCATGTGTCTCTTGAGGTCGAAGGTGTCGTTGAAGCCTTTCCCGCAGTATCTGCACGGGTGTCTCTTGATCAGACTGTGACACTTCAGGTGTCGCGTCAGCATGCGCTGCAGCGGGAACCCTTTATGACACACCGAACACAGAAACTCCGACGAGCCGCCGCATTCATGCGCCTGGATCAGAGGAACACATGCATGTGCAGGGATAAACACTCATTGTGCTCTGAAACAAGCTGCATTTATAAAACATGAGACCAACATCCAACTGAAACGTTCCATGAGCAATGCATTCATCACGCTTATTACAGAGCAGGAGCCTCGTTTATAACCGCTGCGCCGCACACACACACTCACACACACAGCTGTGTTTTTGTGATATATGAGGACATTCCATAGGCGTAATGACTTTTATACTGGACAAACTGTATATTCTATCCCCCTACACTGCCCCTATCCCTAAACCTGCCCATCACACACACACACACACACACACACACACACACACACACACACACACACACACACACACACACACACACACACTGCCCCTATCCCTAAACCTGCCCATCACACACACACACACACACACACTGCCCCTATCCCTAAACCTGCCCATCACACACACACACACACACTGCCCCTATCCCTAAACCTGCCCATCACACACACACACACACACACACACACACACACACACACACACACACACACACACACACACACACACACACACACACACACACACACACTGCCCCTATCCCTAAACCTGCCCATCACACACACACACACACACACACACACACACACACACACACACACACACACACACACACACACACACACACACACACACTGCCCCTATCCCTAAACCTGCCCATCACAGGAGACATGCTGCATTTTTACATTAAAAAAAAAAACATTGTTTTTTAAGCTATTTGAAATATGAGGACTCATGCAATGTCCTCATATATCACGTGTAAGTTGTAATACCAGTGTAATATGCATGTCATTATACACATTTGTGTCCTCATATATCACAAAAACAAGAGCACACACACACACACACACACACACACACACACACACACCTGAGAGACCCAAACTCCACTGCACACACACACACACACACACACACACGAGTTGTGATCTATAAACACACACTAGCTGGGAGAGTGTGTGAGTGCATTAAAACAAAATTCTGTACCAAATTTATAGGCAAGAAAAGTAGTTTGTTTAGGCTGGGTTGTATGAATTACAATTACATATTTTAAAAAGCACATAACTATAGAATTCTGAATGAGCATGTGAACGCCGTCAGCGTTAATCACAGGTTCGCGTTTAAAGTCTGATCATTTCGACGGAGGTGAATCAATCAAAGTTAACTTTAGCTGGAAGTAACATTATTCAAGAACCGCTATAACGCCAAAACAATCTGTTACCTTAAATTATATGTTTATCTCTGTAAAGCTGCTTTGAAACAATCCATTGTTAAAAGCGCTATAAATGAAGATGACTTGACTTGACTTGATCTGTGAGTAACTCTGATCGCGCCCACGAGCAGTTTAACACACCGATGATGATCTGAGGAACTGATGAAATAATATTAATTATGAGTCATAATCATAAATACAGTGCATGTTCACAATAACAGTTTACATTAATAAAAGAATGATTTAAACTCTGTTTTACATCTGATATACACTTTAAGATTAAATATACCATTCTCATTAATGGAGTTAAGCTCTTAAATGACATCAAATCATTACCGAGAAGTTACAACAATGCTGTGTTTTAATGTTTGCTGAGCGCATGATAACAGCAGAACATGCAAATACTGCAAATAATGATCAATAAGGCATTTCTGTTTCCATAAAAATGTAAAGCAATTTAAAAATACATTTTGGCCAGTGGAAAATATTGAGGAAACTTTCTGCGAAATGTATTTTATACAATTTTATTCATTTATTGAAAAACAAGGCAGGATCGGCTACTAAATGCTTTTTAGAAATGTAATGTGACGCACATATCTCATATTCACATATCTCAGATGTCTTGTCCCGTTAAACATGGAATCACGCGGATGAATATACATATGTAAATGATATGCAGATGAGAATCTGCATTGTAAACGAGGTGTGTGAGCTCATATCTCGGGGAGGAGACGCGTGTTCACACTCTTCCTCTGACTGGGGTTATAACCGGTTATAACGGGGATTAGCGCAGACTCTGGCGTTCGCACGCTTTATAACTCTCAATACTCCCACACACAGTTTATAAACGAGAACCCTGATAACTCTCAACGGACGTTCTGTTAATGTTACTGGATGAACGTGTGTTCGTATCCGTGTGAGTGTGTGAGATGTGCAGTTCACCTTGTTCGACGGTGCTGATGTTAAAGCAGCGGGAGGAAGAGGAAGAGGAAGAGAACTCTGGGACGCCGGAACTCTCTCCATCCCATAATCCTCTCTGCGGCGCTCCTGAGCTTCAGAAGCAGGTGTGTGTTTGTGGACGCGCTCCGACACTGATTCCAGACCAGCAGCACTGTGTGTCTGTACAGCTACTGAAACACACACACATAAAACACACACACATTAGATCACTACAGAAGATCTCACATTAAATGATCCAGTTAAGACTTTTTTCCTCAGGTTTTTTTTTAGTTTTCAGCACAAAAAAATTTGTAAAATATAATAAGATAATAAAAAAAAAAAAAAAATCCATTAATCTTTTTATTGAATCTTCTCAGGTTTTTTGTCTGGTTTTCAGCACACAAAAATATTAAATATAATAAAATAAAATAGTTTTCTCAGGCTTTTTGTTTGGTTTTCAGTACAAAAAAATATTAAAATATAATAAAATAATTTTAAAGGTATTTTGTTTGGTTTTCAGCACAGTTTTTTTTAAATATAATAAAATATTTTTTCTCAGATTTTTTTAAATGTGGTTTTCAGCACAAATAAATGATTAAAATATAATAAAATAAAATTGTAAGGTTTTTTGTTTGTTTTATAGCACAAAAAAAATATAATTTATTTGGTTTTGTTTTATAGCACTTTTTTCTGTTTTTAAAAAAATGGTTTTCAGCACAAATAAATAATTAAAATCATAATGTATATCATTCATTAGACATAATGGAATGTAACATTCCATCATTCTTCAAACATTATAGAACGTCACATTGTATCATTCTTAGAACATTATGGAACGTTACATTGTATCATTCTTCAAACCAAACATTATGAAACGTTACTGTCACAGTCTGTCTTGTCTCCGCCTCTTCACTACACTTCCCAGCATCCCTCATGTTTTCGCACCTGCCTGTCATCATCGTTGTCACCTGTGCGTAGTTAATCACCTTCATTTGTGTCACCTGGTTTCTGTTCATTAGTGTCTGTATTTAGTTCCTTCTTGTTCAATCTGTCCTTGTCAGTTGTTAGTTTACATTTTACATTTACATTTATTCATTTAGCTGACACTTTTATCCAAAGCGACTTACAATTGCTATGCATGTCAAAGGTCACTCGCCTCTGGAGAAATTAGGGGTTAAGTGTCTTGCTCAGGGACACATTGGTGTCTCACAGTGGATTCGAACCCGGGTCTCTCACACCAAAGGCATGTGTCTTATCCACTGTGCCATCACCACCGGTGATGCTGTTATAGTTGTATAACTTATAACATGCTTTCACCGCTGGTCCCGTCCAGCACAGAGCCTTCACCGCTGGTCCCGTCCAGCACAGAGCCTTCACCGCTGGTCCCGTCCAGCACAGAGCCTTCACCGCTGGTCCCGTCCAGCCCTGCAGAGCCTTCACCGCTAGTCCCGTCCAGCCCTGCCGAGCCTTCACCGCTGGTCCCGTCCAGTCCAGAGCCTTCACCGCTGGTCCCGTCCAGCACAAAGCCTTCACTGCTGGTCCCGTCCAGCCCAGAGCCTTCACCGCTGGTCCCGTCCAGTCCAGAGCCTTCACCGCTGGTCCCGTCCAGCCCAGAGCCTTCACCGCTGGTCCCGTCCAGCCCTGCCGAGCCTTCACCGCTGGTCCCGTCCAGCACAGAGCCTTCACCGCTGGTCCCGTCCAGCACAAAGCCTTCACTGCTGGTCCCGTCCAGTCCAGAGCCTTCACCGCTGGTCCCATCCAGCCCTGCCGAGCCTTCACCGCTGGTCCCGTCCAGCACAGAGCCTTCACCGCTGGTCCCGTCCAGCACAAAGCCTTCACCGCTTGTCCCGTCCAGCCCTGCCAAGCCTTCACCGCTGGTCCCGTCCAGTCCAGAGCCTTCATCGCTGGTCCCGTCCAGCACAGAGCCTTCACCGCTGGTCCCGTCCAGCACAAAGCCTTCACCGCTGGTCCCGTCCAGTCCAGAGCCTTCATCGCTGGTCCCGTCCAGCCCTGCCGAGCCTTCACCGCTGGTCCCGTCCAGTCCAGAGCCTTCATCGCTGGTCCCGTCCAGTCCAGAGCCTTCACCGCTGGTCCCGTCGAGTCCAGAGCCTTCATCGCTGGTCCCGTCCAGTCCAGAGCCTTCACCGCTGGTCCCGTCCAGCACAGAGCCTTCACCGCTGGTCCCGTCCAGCACAGAGCCTTCACCGCTGGTCCCGTCCAGTCCAGAGCCTTCACCGCTGGTCCCGTCCAGCACAGAGCCTTCACCGCTGGTCCCCGTCCAGCACAGAGCCTTCACCGCTGGTCCCGTCCAGCACAGAGCCTTCACCGCTGGTCCCGTCCAGTCCAGAGCCTTCACCGCTGGTCCCGTCCAGCCCTGCCGAGCCTTCACCGCTGGTCCCGTCCAGCCCTGCCGAGCCTTCACCGCTGGTCCCGTCCAGCACAAAGCCTTCACTGCTGGTCCCGTCCAGCCCTGCCGAGCCTTCACCGCTGGTCCCGTCCAGTCCAGAGCCTTCATCGCTGGTCCCGTCCAGCACAGAGCCTTCACCGCTGGTCCCGTCCAGCACAAAGCCTTCACCTCTGGTCCCATCCAGCCCTGCCGAGCCTTCACCGCTGGTCCCGTCCAGCCCTGCCGAGCCTTCATCACGGGTCCCGTCCAGCCCTGCCGAGCCTTCACCGCTGGTCCCGTCCAGTCCAGAGCCTTCATCGCTGGTCCCGTCCAGCCCAGAGCCTTCACCGGTGGTCCCGTCCAGCCCAGAGCCTTCACCGCTGGTCCCGTCCAGCACAGAGCCTTCACCGCTGGTCCCGTCCAGCACAGAGCCTTCGCCGCTGGTCCCGTCCAGCCCAGAGCCTTCACCGTGGTCCCGTCCAGCCCAGAGCCTTCACCGCTGGTCCCGTCCAGCACAGAGCCTTCACCGCTGGTCCCGTCCAGCACAGAGCCTTCAGCGCTGGTCCCGTCCAGCACAGAGCCTTCACCGCTGGTCCCGTCCAGCACAGAGCCTTCACCGCTGGTCCCGTCCAGCACAGAGCCTTCACCGCTGGTCCCGTCCAGTCCAGAGCCTTCACCGCTGGTCCCGTCCAGTCCAGAGCCTTCACCGCTGATCCCGTCCAGCCCAGAGCCTTCACCGCTGGTCCCGTCCAGCCCTGCCGAGCCTTCACCGCTGGTCCCGTCCAGTCCAGAGCCTTCATCGCTGGTCCCGTCCAGTCCAGAGCCTTCATCGCTGGTCCCGTCCAGTCCAGAGCCTTCATCGCTGGTCCCGTCCAGTCCAGAGCCTTCATCGCTGGTCCCGTCCAGTCCAGAGCCTTCATCGCTGGTCCCGTCCAGTCCTGCCGAGCCTTCACCGCTGGTCCCGTCCAGCCCTGCCGAGCCTTCACCGCTGGTCCCGTCCAGCCCTGCCGAGCCTTCACCGCTGGTCCCGTCCAGCCCTGCTGAGCCTTCATCGCTGGTCCCGTCCAGTCCAGAGCCTTCATCGCTGGTCCTGTCCAGTCCAGACCCTTCATCGCTGGTCCCGCCCAGCCCAACCCCTCGCTCCACGTCAGCCCTGCCGAGCGCGCGCTCCACGTCAGCCACGCCGAGCCTACACTTCACGCCAACCCTGCCGAGCCTTCACCGCTGGTTCCGTCCAGTCCAGAGACTTATTCACCGCTGGTTCCGTCCAGTCCAGAGCCTTCATCGCTGGTCCCGTCCAGCACAGAGCCTTCACCGCTGGTCCCGTCCAGCACAAAGCCTTCACCGCTGGTCCCGTCCAGCCCTGCCGAGCCTTCACCGCTGGTCCCGTCCAGTCCAGAGCCTTCATCGCTGGTCCCGTCCAGCACAGAGCCTTCATCGCTGGTCCCGTCCAGTCCAGAGCCTTCATCGCTGGTCCCGTCCAGTCCAGAGCCTTCATCGCTGGTCCCGTCCAGTCCAGAGCCTTCACCGCTGGTCCCGTCCAGTCCAGAGCCTTTACCGCTGGTCCCGTCCAGCCCTGGCGAGCCTTCACCGCTGGTCCCGTCCAGCCCTGCAGAGCCTTCACCGTTGGTCCCGTCCAGCCCTGCCGAGCCTTCACCGCTGGTCCCGTCCAGCCCTGCCGAGCCTTCACCGCTGGTCCCGTCCAGCCCAGAGCCTTCACCGCAGGTCCCGTCCAGCCCTGCCGAGCCTTCATCGCTGGTCCCGTCCAGTCCAGAGCCTTTATCGCTGGTCCCGTCCAGTCCAGAGCCTTCATCGCTGGTCCCGTCCAGTCCAGAGCCTTCATCGCTGGCCCTGCCCAGCCCAGACCCCTCGCTCCACATCAGCCCTGCCGAGCGCGCGCTCCACGTCAGCCACGCCGAGCCTGCACTTCACGTCAACCCTGCCGAGCCTTCACCGCTGGTTCCGTCCAGTCCAGAGACTCATTCGCCGCTGATTCCGTCCAGCCCAGAGCCTGAATTCTCACCCAGCCTCCCTCTCCCACCTCCTCCCATCTGCCTCTCTACCTTTCCTCCACCACTGCCTGGCAACCCCTCTGCTCCTGTATCCACCCTTGAGGAGGTGGAGTCGCCGAGGATCTGCCTGCCACCAACGCCTTCAGGGTCGGTGGATCCCCAGTCTCTGCCTCCAACCTCCTCAACCAGGACTCTTCCTCGGCCCTTCATCCCATCTGTTCCACCGTGGCTCTTACCTCCCTCAGCTCCACCATGGCTCCCTCGTCCCCCCGGATTCACTTTTGTCCCTCATCGGCCTTCCCTCACCTATGGACTCCTCTCCTCTGGCTACGCCTCGTCCCTTCGTTCCCCCGGCTCTGTTGGACTCCTCACTCCCCTCAGTTCCCCTTTGGTCCTCACTCCCTCTGTCTCCACCGTGTCCTTCTGTGTCCCTGTCTACACTTCAGTCGCCTGAGCCTTCGGTGTCACCATGTCCCTCCAGTCCCTCAGCATCACCCGGTCTTGTCTGCTCTACGGCTCAACCCTGGTCTCCTCTCCCACCTGCTCCACATCTGCCAGTCGGCCCCCTGGAGTCTTCTGCCCTGCCCCCTCCATGGCTCCTCCCTCCGTCGTCTCCGCCCTGGCCGCCTGCACTGCCTGATCCGCCCTGGTCCCTCTCTCCCTCTGCTGTTGGTCCTTCTACGGTGCGAGGACGCGACTACCGGAAGGGGGGGCGTAATGTCACAGT